GGAGGGGAGACAGGGGGAAGAGGGGGAGGGGTGATGGAGGGGATGGAGGGGTGGGGAGGGAGGGTGATGGAGGGGGGAGGGTGGGTGGACGGATGGAGGGGGTGGGGAGGAGGGTGATGGAGGGGGAGGGCTGTGAGGACGGTGATGGAGGTGGGGGAGAAAGGGGGTAGAGGGGGAGGGGGTGAAAGGAGGGGGAGGTGGGAGAGACAGGGTGGAGAGGGGGTGGGGGGTGATGGAGGGAGGGTAGGAGGACGGGGCTGGAGGGGTGGGGGTGGCAGGGGGCGACAGTGGGGAGAGGGTTGTGAAATGAGGTGGATTAATCTGTGTGTTTTAGAAAAAGATTTTTTCTTTTTTTCTTTGTCTCTTCTTTTGCGAAATGACTTTTTTTCTTTTTAATTCCTTCTTCTTTATTATCATTATTCCATTTAAACCAAATACCACTTTCTTTCTTTATCATAATCGATCAATATCACTTTCATTCCAAATCCTGTTTAACCCAATTACCAATCAGCCAACAACCCAAATCGATTAATTTTTTATGAACACGAAATTCAATCATATTAATTAACACAAAATACATTTTAATCGACGAATATTATTTGTTAGACGGAATCTGAAATTTCAATATAGTCATTAAGTGGAGGAAATTCGAGACTGAAATTAATCAAATTGGCAGAAGGTATGTAATGAAGGTTTATTTATTTATTTATATATTTGTTTAATGAGCATATGGCATTGAATACCGGCAATGAAATGTAGAATTGCAGTCGTTAGTATTTGTGGGGTATTTTACATGTGAATTTGTCATTTAGTTCTAGTTTCATATGTTAATGACCGTATTAATGAACAGGTACGTATCTCAATTAATATTGTGATTTAAACATTTTATCTCGATTAATAATGTGATTTCAAAAAAAATATATATATATGGTTCATATGATTCTTGGGGGCGCAGTTCTCTTGAAAGACATATTAATTCACACAATTTTCGATATATTAGATATGGTGGAGATAATTGCAACGTAGTATTACCTGATTTGCAATTCATATTTTTTCTCTTGGCTTTTAGGTAGTTTTAAGTAATTTTAAAAAATGCGTTAATAATATTTTCTGTTGACTTAATTCTATATTTTTTAAAATAGTGAATAATGATAATGATAAAAGCATGTGTTACTCTCTACATATTTCTTAGTTGTGAATAATGGTAATAACAGGATGGTGGGAAGTGGGACCCCGCATCCCAACACAGGGGTCGTGTGTCCCAGGGGCAGGGAGGCGAAGGGAGGAGGGCAGGGAGGCGAAGGGAGAAGGCCAGGGAGGCGAAGGAGAAGGGCAGGGAGGCGAAGGAGGAGCAGGAGGCGTAGGGAGAAGGGCAGGGAGGCGAAGGAGAAGGGAGAAGGCAGGGAGGCGAAGGGAGGAGGGCAGGGAGGCGAAGGGAGAAGGGCAGGGAGGCGAAGGGAGAAGGGAGAAGGGCAGGGAGGCGAAGGGAGAAGGGCAGGGAGGCGAAGGGAGGAGGGAGAAGGCAGGGAGGCGAAGGGAGAGGGAGAAGGCAGGGAGGCGAAGGGAGAAGGCAGGGAGGCGAAGGGAGGAGGGCAGGGAGGCGAAGGGAGAAGGGCAGGAGGCGAAGGAGAAGGGAGAAGGCAGGGAGGCGAAGGGAGGAGGGAGAAAGGGCAGGAGGCGAAGGGAGAAGGGAAAGGCAGGAGGCGAAGGGAGGAGGGAGAAGGCAGGGAGGCGAAGGGAGAAGGGCAGGGAGGCGAAGGGAGAAGGGAGAAGGCAGGAGGCGAAGGGAGAAGCAGGGAGGCGAAGGGAACGAAGGAGGCAGGAGAAGGGAGAAGGCAGGGAGGCGAAGGAGAAGGGCAGGGAGGCGAAGGGAGGAGGCAGGGAGGCGAAGGGAGAAGGGCAGGGAGGCGAAGGGCGAGAAGGCAGGGAGGCGAAGGAGAAGGGCAGGGAGACGAAGGGAGAAGGGCAGGGAGGCGAAGGGAGAAGGCAGGGAGACGAAGGAGAAGGACAGGGAGGCGCTGGTACTTACTTATGGTGATGAGGCCTGAGTTGAGCATGGACAGCTGGATGCGGTGCGGGATGACGGCGAACGTGCCTGAGGAACCGAGGAATTTCTTGGACTTTTGGGCTTGTTCATTGTTCCTGGAGGAGTTTGGAGCGGCCTTCCTCCCCTTCTTGTCTTCGGCCGCTCCCACCACGCTAGCGTCCCCGGCCTCGCCTCCTCCAGCAGCCGAGGAGGAGGCAGCACTGTCGCTAGCAGACATGGCGTCTCGTTCACGCATCATACCTCGCCACCTTCTGCTTACCTTCGCACTACTATTACTTCTGCTGTAGCTCGCACTACTCCACTAGCCACACCTGCTTCTGCTGCTGCCCCTTGGCGACACATGGACACTCACTGCCGTTACACCGACACGCACACTGCAGCGGCCGCGTCACACTTACATATATCCCTCTTCCGCGATGGCACTCGGGCACTGGCGCAGCAGGGAGGCCGCGAGGTGTTGAGGGCCAGCTGGCCTCGGGAGGTACGGGCGCGTCTCGTTGCGCTGCCGCAGGGGCACTGCTCAGCCTCCTCGCCGCTCTGCCCACACCTGCGCGGCTAAAACCGTGGCACCTCCCGGGTACCCAGCCAAGTATGCGCCCACAGCCACCAGTGCCCACCAGCGCCCTCGCCTGTGATAGCAGCGCCTCTCTCATCTCAAGCGCCTCTAGACTTATCTCCTCCAGCCCTTCGAGAGCGGACCCACCGTCGACCAGGGCCTCGATAAGGGACTTCCTTCCACCGGAGTCGAACGAGGTCGCGGAGGACGGTGGCGAGGAAGGTCAGCGAACGAACGAACGAAACGAATCACCCCCCGGGAGCCACCGCCGCGGGGACAGGGAGGGTGGGAGGGGGCGCCGCCGGAGTGGGGCGGGAGAGAGGGGTCGCCGGGGTGGGGGAGAGGGAATGCTGGTGAGGGAGGGAGGGAGAGGAGAGTGGGAAGAGGAGGAGGGGGTGACGGAGAGGGAAGAGAGGTGGGGGACACCGGAGACGGGGGAGAGGGTAAGAACACCGGAGTGGGGAGAGTGGGAGGTGATGCCCAAGAGGGGAGGGAGAGAGAGGGGACGGCGGAGTGGGGAGAGTGGGAGTGATGCCCAAGACGGGAGGGAGAGACAGGGGACGGCGGAGTGGGGAGAGAGGGAGGTGATGCCCAAGAGGGAGGGAGAGAGAGGGGACGGCGGAGTGGGGAGAGAGGGAAGGGGGGAAGCCTTATATCGCAAAAAGAATGGAACCTCAGCACCGTTTTCGCTTTTTTCATTACAGTCGGCCGGGACAAAGAAGATAGGTATTAAAGGGATGCCTTTAAGATCACGAATGGGTTTGAATGAGGAGAAAAAGAAGGGGGGGGAGGGGGGGGAGGTAAAATTTACAGGGCACGAGGAAGGAGGAGGAATCACGTGTGCGGCACGCTGGACACGCAACGACACACAGGCAAGAACGCGACCCTGTAAACACACACGATGGCCAGATCACACAGAACATGCAGAGAGATGAACACATATACTATGATCTCGCGGACCACATAAAAGAGAGAGACGGGCATGTTGTCCCGCAAGGCATGTAGGGATGTGGGGGATATGTGGCGTGTCGTAAGGAGACTCTCAGGACACGCCAACAAGTGCTCTTTCAGAACAGCCTCGTCTGTGGATTTCATGAAGGTATTGCACGATGATGAGAGAGACTTTTTGCAAGGAATGAGATTGAGTGCGTTTAGAAATTGGCAGGTCGCTGAGAGCAGCTCCTGTTCGCACTCGTCCCCTTGCAAGACGGCCTTAAAGTTATTCGTTATTGTTTCGAAAGAGGGAGAAAGGCAGAAGAAGGACAGGACGAGAAAGTCTGCGGGAACAAGGCTCCGTGTTTTATAAGTTGGAGTTTCGGGGAAGAAGAAGAAGGTCGGAAAGTGCTTTTGCAGAGAGGAGGGAACGACGACCAAGTAGCGCCGTCGCTCGAGGGGGTTGCCAATGAGTTATCCAGCGACAGAAAATACTGAGCAAATATTCGGTGATTACTCTGGCACGCGAGGAGCCTGGCGAGTGCCCGGGGCGAGGGCGGGAGGCCGCTACAAGGGCCGCCCGCTGCTCGGGTACTCGCGCAGGTCTATGTGAACGGACCTGGAGCCGTAGTTTCCCTCCTTTGGATACCGAACGGGGCGCCGGGAAACGCCGCCGCCGTTCTCCCAACATCAGAGGAACACGACGAAGCACACGCAAAAGAGGATAAAGAAGAAGAGGAGGAGGGAGAGCACGATCAGGAATATGGTGATGGGCACCATGGCCATCTTCACCGTCTCCGTGTACACAACGACGCAGACGAGCACGCACAGGTAGAGCGCGGGAACGACCAGCCTCTCGCTCCACCACCCTGCAGCGACACCACCTCGCCTACTGCCCCCTCCGCAGAGGCAACCATAGGCGGTCTCCACGACTGAGCTCCGAGGGCGCCGTCGTCCCCCGCGACTCCCGAGCGGCTGTTGAAAGGTCCTCTCAGGCCCACGACCTTCACGCCCGTCAAACCATGGGTTGCCTCCTGAGGCCTGACGACGAAGCGGGCCTCCTCTGCTGACGCGGGCGAGGGCGGCGCCGGCGAAGAGGATGACTGGCAGTTCCAGGCGACAGCAAGAATCCGTGGCCTCTCCAGCTGTGCAGGCTTCAGAGGCACAGCTGCGCCGGGGAGAGCTAGGGGGAGAGCCAGTATTAAGGCATCCACCCGCCGATGTACTCTCATGGTTCGCGCAGAGCTCCGCAGGCTGCAAAGGCTTCAGGGCGTCAGGGCTGCGAGGCTTCAGGGCTTCCGGGGCGAGTCAGGCTTCGAGGGGAACCGTCGCTGCTAAGGGGCGCGAGGAGGGACTCGGAGCCCGGAGTTTATGGCATAGCTAACTAACTGACCTCGAAAACCTCTGGAAATTTTTCTTTTTTTTTCTCAAAGCACGCGAAATTCAGTCCTGGGATTTTTTTCT